AATGCAACGAAAGAAAGAAAGAAAGAAAACTAAAGCTTGTGCTGTGGATACGTATTTAAAAACAAACAATAGCTGCTTCGTTTGACTATTATAAAATGTGTTACTACCTCCAGAGTCTGTCTCAGTAACTCAAGACTCAAACAAAAACAGAAGGGCGTATCTGAGTCTGAGTTCAGAGAAACTTCTCCGTGCGTACCTGGGAGATTTGGGAGGGAAAAAGGCCCTTTGTCGAGCGACACTCAATCCTCACCTCTGTGAAGTGAGTTAGGGGCAAAGCAATAAACACTGTGTCACTTCCACTGCACTTTGACATGTGTTAGACCCTCGACAAGTTCATCAGCTTTCACCGAGAGGCCGGTCTGACTATGCATTCACTTCTCCTGTTCCCCAGAAAAACATGTGACATTAATTAACTAGCTGCATTCAGACGCACATACAGAAAGCCCAGCAGGGATTGTTTGGTTTTTGGCAGCGCGAGGCTGTAGCTGACAGACAGACAGCGAGGCACACAGAAACAGATAAAGAGGAAACAGTTGGACGTTGTGAAATTGCCTTCATTTCAGAGAATGATGTTATTAAGCAGAATTGCCTGCTGGCGTTGGGACTTAACGAGTTGCAGTCGAGAAATAAACCGAGTTAAAAGACCATAAGCACATTTGCTAAATTAGCTTTTCAGTCACGAAAAACACAACAACACCAAAATGACTCTTCTGTTCGTCGCGGATCAACGCTCCAGGCTAACACTTTAAAACGAGTGATACAACGAAGCACACCTAGATATTGCAATGCTTTTGTAACATTTGTCAGTGTCACATTAGAGTTAAATATTAATATTACCTCAAAATATCATTATTTTTGGGATGTTTTTCATTAAATGATAGTCTCCCAGTGAAAGACTGTAGCTAAATACTGAGCACAATCAACAACTTTCTATTTCTAATGCCTTAAACTAATATTGCATTGCATTATAGTCATGCGCACGTTATGTAATGAAGACATCATAAATATTACAGTTTGTACGTGTGAGTGGTTTATACTAAGTTATAAATCACATATACTGTTTTGGAGGTCCTTATAGTTTACATTTTCTTGATTTTATAGATATATATTGTACTTTTTCTGCATTTATCTGACAGCTGTGTCTAGTAGTAACTTTACTATAGATTTTAGTTTGAAAAACACAATACATTTTAAGTTATAATGCATTTTCTAAACTACCAAACCTCATAACATTTTAATAATAATAATAATAATAATACATTACATTTATAAAGCGCTTTTCCTGGTGCTCAAAGCGCTTACAAGCAAGTAAAAGAAAAAAACAACAAAAGTAGAAAGTGCTAAGCTAGGAGGAATAAGGGCAAGGGGTTAGTAGATTAGGAGTTGAAGGCAAGAGCGACCCTAACCCATTTTAGACACAAAAACTCACTAAAACATAGAATGCAATAATGCGAGCATTGTCATAAAATACATTTAGTTTCAAAGTGTTTTTAACTGTTAATTTAGGACTTAAATGCATACATTTCATTTGTAATTAGGGCTGAACGATCAATCGATTTTAAATCGAAATCACGATTTTAAATGATGCAATTATCAAATCGCAAATCCCTGCAATTTATTTTAGTTAACAAAAAAATAAAAAGTGTTTTGTTCTTCTTGTGTGTCAGTCATCCCCACCAATCAGAAGTGCTGCTCCACATGTACCAGCCATTGTTAACCAATCAGAAGAGGCCCATGATAGTAGGTGATTGACAGATTGATCCAATCACCTGCCAAGTATTTTTGAAAGTGCCTGCCCTTTCCAAATGGCTTCCAATGGAGCTTTCCTAGATGGTTTGGTGAAACAAAGCGTCTGAGTCAGGTTAGTAATGCTCCATCACATGTTTCTATTACAGGGTGAATCTTAAACTGAAGCTTGACTTTAAAGCAACCCAACGGAAGTTTCCTGTAAGTTTAGTGCTTTCACTCGTAGCTGCGGGGGTGCTAGAGACGGGAGCACGTTGATACGACCCTCCTAGCCGGAGATCAGGCCGCACTTTACAATAAACTTCCGTTGGGTCGCTTAAAAACAAATATCGCAAATCGAATCGCAATATCTGTCAGAAAAATCACAATTAGATTATTTCCCCAAATCGTGCAGCCCTATTTTTGTAATTGAGTATTATATGAATGTGTGTTTAAGTAAATGATCTAAACACCATCACTACTGCTACCAGTGGTGGTTAAAAGTCAAATGTAACTAATTTTAGTGTGAAATATACTCAAATGTCTCCATATGATACCAGAACAGAGGATGTTTCCTGTGTTTCCTTCAGTCAGCAGTCTGAGTCAAAATGAAAAATGTATTTCTTCAGATTTCAATTCATGTTTTATTTCAGTAGTTCATGCATATCTGTAAGTGCCTCCCACACGTTTTTAATCTGTTTATCGTCTGCGCACAAGATGTGTGTTTCTTCTACATACATGTCTCGATGGGAGGTCAGCCTGGGGCTTTTCGACCCAGACAGATACAACACATTCCTCTACAAGCTGTGGAAGTAAAAGGCTTTATTGTCCATGCTGCTAATCAACAGCTATTTTGGCTCCAATGGGGGGTGAGTTCCCCGTCGCGCATATCTAAAAAGACAAAGCCTCATCCTCCAGGAGACGGTCAAAACACAGATTGGCCTCCTGACCCAGCTCTGATCCTTCGGTTCCCGGCGCTGACCTGTCCTGAGCGAGACATTGATATTTCACGGTTCTTTAAAGTTCACAAGGAGCAAGATTTTGCAAAAGTAATGAATGAAGTCACAGTGTTTTATATTTGGGGGATTACTAGAATTCGTAATGGTGTCTTGGGACTTTTAGGACTCTCCAAAACATGTAGGTCAGGTAATTCTTTATTTCCCAGAGAAAAGAAGTAGGTCAAGGCTTGTATAGAAATCACTAGAGTCTGTCTGTCTGTCTTTCTGTGTGCCTGTGTGTCTGTCTGTCTGTCTGTCTGTCTGTCTGTCTGTCTGTCTGTCTGTCTGTCTGTCTCTCCCTCAATTTGTCTGTCTCTCTCTCTCTGTCTGTCTGTCTGTCTCTCTCTGTGTGTCTGTCTGTCTCTCTGTCTGTCTGTCTGTCTGTCTGTCTGTCTGTCTGTCTGTCTGTCTGTCTGTCTGTCTGTCTGTTTGTCTGTGTGCCGTCATATAATATGTTTTACAATGTTATTACTGGCTGCAACTACTTTTTTTTATACAACTCAATACTTTGCCAACAACTGTAAAATAACACTATGCAATATATACTTTTACTAGTACTACTATACTAAACTGTTATCTGGCCGCTACTTCATTTATTTCTATAAGTCCCATTTATTCTTTATAATCCTGCTCCTAATCTTTTTCTACCTTAAATGAACCTTACACGATTTTGTTTATTTTATAAAAGTGTGCTTGTTGAATACCGTTTTATTTTAGTTTTTTTCTTTATCTATACTTTACCCGTATTGCCTTAACAATGTACATTTTCCCCTCTGTCCATCCATCCATCCATCTATCTATCTATCTATCTATCTATCTATCTATCTATCTATCTATCTATCTATCTATCTATCTAT